TGTCTTTGCACTCCCATTTGCTGAATCAGTGGCAACATGCTTTCGCCACTTGCTGCGAATGCTTGCAACATCCACTACAGCCAGCCGACTTCGGAGCCTTCTCCACCTTCCTCGCCCACCGCTTCAGCCAAACGACCCACGCTTGCCCTCCTTCTACCACTCCACCTCCGCTGCGTCCATCACGGTTGCGTACACGGAAGTCCTCGACAACCGCTCTCCGCACAACCACGCAGCCTCCGCAACCTTCGCGCTTTCCACCGTCTATCCCGCTCCCCGTGCTGCTTCCTGAAGCTCGTCCATCGCAGCGTCCGTTTCACCTTTTCGCCACGCCTCCTCACCGCGCTCCCGTCCCACGGCAAAAAGATGTCTGCTCCGGGGTCCTCACGTCGGCGCCGCTCGGGATCGATCGTGATTCGTCGCCCTTCGCGGTCGAAATCGATCGGTTCATCTCTCCACTTCTACATCCTACCTAGATCTGGCCACGCAGCCACATTCTATTCCCGCCCGATCGCTTCGACCGTTCCTTCGATTACTGTACCAATTGAAACTAACCCTTCCTGCTGGTAATCTCCTAGTCGACCCCCAAACTGCTGGGATCGGCTTGGACGTGGTTTTAGCATGTTTTTGCTGTTCCAATGAGTCTATGCCTTTTTTTGACCCAAACTGGGAGCGATTGGGGTCCGACTTGGCGGGCAGATCGCAAAACGCCGTTGCTTGTGAAGTCGAAAAAAATCACTGTTGACCCAACTGACGTATGCTGCTTCGATTTTCTTTGATTTATTGTGTACTTTCCCAAGTGCAGGGAAGTGAGCAATTCCTGCAGTAATTCTAATCATGAGGATGTCCGGAAATTCCTTGAAGTCTCTCACCTGACAGGTGCGGCCAAAGTGTTTATGCTCACCCAGCACCATACAGTTGATGAGTGCCTTGTAGTGAAAGTTGGTGGGAGTTTCCGAAATGCTATAGCCGGGGCATGACTTGGCCATGCCAAGCATTTAACTACAAGCATTTTTGAGAGACTTCGGGTCGTGGATCCATTCCGGTCGAATCGATTTGATCACAAAGTACGAGCGTGAACATGCTTCGAACGCAAGCAGTGTCGCACATTTTAGAACCCAACCATGTGGCAATGTGGCATTTGGCGTGCGCCATGTGATCCGAGGCGAAGGTCTTCAAAAAAACTTGCAAACCATGCGTCCAGCAGATGCTGGAGATGACGGAACTGCAGGTGCGGAAATCTGCAGATAGGTGGCACAGCTCCTCCGCATAGGTGGCACAACAGATGCGACATTGGCCCAGATTCGATGCACCTTGGCACTTCCTCCAAGCTCCTCTGACTTTGCTCACGTGTTGCGCCCGAAACTAGCAGGTTTCTTTGTTTTCCGTGCAGGAGCCTTCCAGCTGGATCCTTCAGTGTACGCAATATCATGGTATCTCAAACCTTCTGTCCAGCTGCTATACGGACCTGGGGTTTCCACGACACTCATGCCCTTCTACCACTCGTTCTGTTCGCGTCCGATACTACGGTATTCTATCATTCTCCGTTTCATACGTATCGTCTTCTTTTCATGCGATCTTCAGCACGAAGATCTTAACATATTTTCTGATACTCATATCCACCCAATATAGACCTAGCAATTCTCTTTTTTGCCCTCTCACTGTGCACTCTTTGAGTGGAGAACTATCCCCCCGAACGCATGCACTGCCAACCTGGACACAGAGCCTCAGGGGCGCGGCCAAGACAAGAGGAGGACAAGGCCTGGACACAGAGCCCAGCCACAGAGCCCAGCCACATTGACAGAGTTCAGGAGGACAAGGCCTGGACACAGAGCCCAGCCGCAGGGCCCAGACAGAGTTCAGGGGCGCGGCCAAGACGAGGAACAAGGCCTGGACACAGAGCCCAGCCACAGAGTTAGGTATTTACGCACACGCGCACAAAACAAATATATATATATATATATTATATGTCAAATAGGGCTTTGGTTTTACTTGATGTTCGTTTTTCCACGCAGAAAGTCTTGAGTAATCTGCCGCGTAGGAGGCCCTCACTCAACTCGACCGGCTCTTTGTGGCAATGGCGGAGGACACGGTCAGCCACATGGCGGCCATGGCCTGGGGTCTACCAGACCCCACCGCCAAGCCTCCCAAAGGTGCCACCCTGCCCGTGTGCAAGCGGCGTCACGAGGCCAGTTTTTTTGTTTTTCTTGATTGCATTTTCTGCCTTAGCCACCTCATTCGCACAAGGTTCCATTGTGATTTTCAGCGCCTTTCAGGCAGAAAAGCCCTCGGCCGACGATGTCGACAACACGGTGACGGTCCACACGGTGAAACAACACCACATCAAGGTGTCTCCGGCGAGGGAAGGCCAAGTCGAAACAGACTTAGCCGCCCTCGTCCGAATCGTCACCGAGAGGGGCCACACCCACCTCAAAGAAGCAGGCGGGCTGTCCGGTTTTCATTTCACACAGGCAGATTTAAGGCATTTGTTTGAATTGTTTCATTGCAGTGGCCTTGTCAGGCACGAAGAGGGCCTTGCTTGGAGGTGGTGGCGGGTTTTGGGGGAGTCTCAGGGGCCAGCATTGGGACCCCCACCTGACCTGCAGCGGCGGCGCCTGGACATTGAAGGCCGCCGCCGACAAATGGGGCTTCTTGAAGGACTGGTCAAATAATTCGTTTACATTAAATCTGCAGTTTTGCTTTGGTCCGGAAAGTGACAGCCAAACTAAAGATGCATGTGTTTGCACAAATGGCTTTGTCTTTTGATTCTATTTTCAGGAGGGACAGTGCTGCATCATCGTTCGCGGCAAAATGGTGAAGGGGAAGGTGGCGGTGTGGCGCAGCCCAGTGGTGCAGCCCTCGGACATCGCCGTGTGGGAGGCGGTCGACGAGTGGCCAAAGCACCTCTGGGCCATCCCCAACAACGTCATCGTCGTCAGCACCAAAGGCGGGCGGGGGGGTCCATCATATTTCTTTAAAATTTTGTGTGGATTGAAATAGTTTCTGCTTCACATTAAAATTAATTAAATTAAGCAAGCAGCGTTTCCTCGCAACCTATGACCTCTTCACGAGGCCGTGGCATAGCCATCCTTGCCGGCTGTGACTGCGACGGGCGCACTTCAGCGTAGCTGCTCGCGTGCACCGCCAGGCATAGTTGGCGAGACTGTCCGCGGATTTCAGCAGCATGACCGGTGGTGACAGCCCACTTGCGCTGCAGCAAAAGGGTGCAGCCGTTTCCTTCCATTCGACGCCTTTCCTCCACCCCCGGCCCAGCTAGCTTTCGTCACCAACCCCCGGCCTCAAGTTGACTTTGCCCAGGCCGCGTACCTCCGCGTGAAGGAGAAATGGGAAGGACCGGCGTTGGTCCATTTCTCTAAGGCACTGCGTAAGACTTGGAGGCACTATAGGCTACTCAGGGACATGATTGTGTGTCTATAGAGTTTATCTAGATCACCCTATAGAGGTTTGTCCCTCGAATTTTGTGTCGAGGCGGCGGGGCCCGGCAGCGAGCCAAACAACCCGGCAGTGGACGAGGTGCCAGATAGGAACGCTTGGGGCTTGGTGAGTAGTAGTTTCAACTGGGTTCGTGTTTCTTGTTGAAATGAAAACATAGAACCTTCCTTTTGAGACACATATTACAGGTATCTGATAACCCTTGCAACGGCTACTCAGACACATGAGCGTGTTGTGTGTCTAGAGCCTATCTAGATCATCCTATAGAGGTTTGTCACTTTGAAATTTGCGTCGAGGCCGCGGGATCCGGCAGCGAGCCAAACGATCCGGCGGTGGAGGAGGTGCCAGATAGGAACGCTTGGGGCTTGGTGAGTAGTAGTTTCAGTTGGGTTCATGTTTCTTGTTAAAATGAAATATAGCTGATAGCACCTTCCTTTTGACAGACATATTACAGGTATCTGATCACTCTTGCAAGTGTGTATGTGTGTGTGTAAAATGTCACACAAGGCAGATACCCAGATCCGGGACAATGGCATGGCTTTGGAGGACTACATTAAAGCCCTTCGCGAGGCTAGCCAAACAACAGGGTTCGCAGAATGTTTTATTGAAACGGGCGAGGCGCCCACTCACCACTTGAAAGAGTGGATGTTGGAGGATTGGGGCTTTGAACGTCGTACCCTGAGCTCAAGGACGTTCACTCTTACCCTTGCTTTTCCTTTTGCGCCTCGCCTCGCTGCAGGCTACGTTTTCCCACACTCTGAGCAGGCGTGGTGGTACTTGAGCCACGCTGTGTGGCTGTGGGAACGTGCCCTTGATGGGCGCAACGCTGCCTGATTGATGTAGAAGAGCGCACTGGAAAAAAAAGGAGGGCAATCAAGCTTTGATTGCGTTGCAATGTTGCACGTCTATCTGTGTCGTAGCCATCAGGAAGCCCACCAACGTTGGTGAAGTTGATGTTGCTTGAGTGATTGTCATGTGTCACGGACTCTGTTACTAGAATCTGCCTGCCACCCGCGGCCCACCAAACAAAAAAAGAGGTTCAGTGACTCAGTGTCGAGATTCTGCTGTGATACGCAGCCTCGGCTCGAGCCCATTGACTACACTCAGCATTGACACGCCACACCCCTACACACAGCAGTTCTCAGCAAGGTTACACGTTCCAGGAATCAAGCAAGTCCTCAGAAGAGTTTGGACAAGGATATTAAATGGAAACAAACACTGAACAGTAGTAGTTGAAAACAAACCTGGCTGAAAAACATATATAGGCCTTTTGATTCCAACCACGAAAAACTATTCAGGGGGCTGGGAATAGTTTTGCGAAAACAACATCATGACCCCCTTCCACCTCTATAGGATCGTCGCAAGACACTTGCCTCTATGCCGAAAAAAATCCAACACTACTTCAAACCAGACATGCGTTTGAAGAACTGTGTTCTTCAAGAGCCACCCCATTCTTTGGCCGAACGCCCCCCTCACCAAACGCTTGTTGTGGAAAGAGCCAAACACGCCGCCCGAACGCGCTGGCTCCCGCCTTCTCGCGTTCGTTGCAGGGTGATTTGGAGCCCTTCCGCACGCTCTTCGGCTACTTGGGGGAGCTACTGGCAGTGGCAGAGGACCCTTCAGAGGCGGGGCTGGTCGAAGTTGTTGAATGTTTCTGCCTGAGAACAAGTAATGACGGGGTCGGCTCGAATGTACAGAGCACGGGCCATTTGACTGCATCGTCTCCCCAGTTGGAGTCTGTAATGCAAGTGACTGGGGCAAAAACAAAAGCACGTATAGTTTCGGCAGTTAAGACAGTTAAGAGTAAAGAACAACATGTTTGCACATAAATGGCAATTATATTAATAGTTGGCAGTTGTTCTTTGTGGAATACAACTCCTTTACATATACTTGGAGGATTCACTTGGAAGAATCATGTGGTGAAACTAGACAGAGGTAGACCAGGAAAGACAAGGCAGCAAAACTCGAGAACCACCGACTTGGACGCAATGACCTTTGACCAGACTTGTTCCACTTGAAATCGAGCGACAGGGCTTAAGATTGGACCCACAGGTTCTGCAGCTGCTTTGGGACCTGGAGCTTCTACCCGTCGAGAGCCAGGAGGCACGAGACGTGGGAGATTCTTTTCAACGAGTGAAAAGAGATATGTTTTGAGTTTGGAGATGACTTACTCTTCTGTGAATCTTGGATAATCTTGGGATGACTGTAGAAAGAGGTTCATGCTTTTGGATTTAGATAAATCATGATCAATCAACCCAGAGACACCAGAAGATGACCAGCAGAGTCTCCCCTCGGAACCTTCGGAGTGTGCCAAGTGAATGAAGAAGACAGAGTGAATGCCCATTTGGAGACTCCACACATCACAAGTTGCAACCGCAAATACAGATGTGTTGACGAACTTCCAGTCCCGAGTGTTGGGGGCGAGGTCGCTCCCGAGGTCGCACAGAGGATCGCAACGGTCTTCACGCGCTGGTCCGGTCGCTGCATCTCAAACAGACACATTTGCTACAAATGGGGCTTTGGTCTCCAAAAAGTGGGGGGCAAGCAGAAGGAGATCCAGCATCAGAGCATTGGGACTGGGGAGGGCGGGGGGGGACTTACCTGGAAGACCGAAATTTCACAGGATTTCACTGCACATGCATGCCAACCAATCGAGGTGCCGCCCGCTGAACGAGTTGCAGAAGAGACGATGGGATCTCGTTGACATTGGTACACATGAAGACGAAATCGTGTTGAGACAAACACGTGATTCCATGTGGGATCTCCCCTTTTCTTGGACCCAGTGACCCCAACGAACTGAATCAGAGGATGTCCGAAAGAAAGGACTGGTGCACTTCCTCCACACATCACTCTCCATGCGTCGCCAGGGGCTCCGGCTGTTCCGCCCGCGGGACCGGGTCTGCTCGCGGCGCGGGCGGACCGGTCCGGCGTGGGCTTGGCAGCGGCTGGAGGGGCAGATCAGGGTGCTCAGCGAGGCAGGTGAATCGCTACGAACGGAGCATGGCATCGCGACTCGAACGGAGCGATGGGACGAGAAGAACGGGGAGAACGGTGCGCCGTACCTACGAACGGAGCGATCGGACGCTACTAGAAACACACGTCGCACAGATACATGAACAAGCCCTTGCAAGGTCTCAGCCATGATTTTCATCCGCTTGACGTGATGGTTGGACCAAAGACCGTATGGTTTCTCAGACCTTATCCTCTTTCTCTCAGGCTTGCTGATCGATTTGGACCGGATCGACTCCGTCCCGTTTTTGGTTGACCGGGATTGCCAGTCCGCCTCGGAGGATCCGTGCACCCGGAAGGGCCAGGGGGTCTCCGACACGCACCCAACGAGACCGGTCTGGGGCACCTGCCATCGCACGTCGCCCGCACAGTCCTTGACGCACCTCGACGGTCCGGCGGGCACCTTCCTGCACGTGGCCCTGGAGCCCTTGGAGGCAGGGCTTCGTCCGGTCACGTCCGTCCGACCGTTCAGTGCTCGTTGGAGAAAACGCGAGGACCCAGACTACCACAACACCCAGAAGCAGACTGGTGGCGGATCTTTTGTGGACCTCCCGGAACCTCCCCGTTTCTTTGGGAAAGCCACAAGAAGAGCTCGGCGTCTCCGGCTCCCTTTCATCCAAGGAGGCTCAACTCAAAGAGCGGCTGCTCGCACGGCTGGCGCAGCCTGAGGGGCCTCCAGAGGTGTGGGAGGGGGTGTTGTTCGACCAGATGGTCGGTGCTATATCCGTTTTGGTAGTTCTTTTGTTTACTTTTACCAGGTTTGAGTTTGGGTTTGGGTGACATACCCTGCAAGATTAAACCAAGAGAAAGCCACATTTGATGGGCGAGCGGTGAACAGGCTTTTGGTTTTGACCAGTGAAGCCAATCTGAGTCCTTTGATCCTCTGGCGTGAGCACTTATCGCTTCATGTGATTCTGTCAGTGTGTGCTAGTCTTCTGTATCTTCTGGCCTGCCCGACCTCCTGGGTCAAAAGCTGATGGAGCACCTGAGCACATGCACTTGTTCCCAAGTTCTGGAAGAAATCCGGATCGTGAGTGGTCCAGGACCGGATGTCCATGTTTGGTTCGTTCGGGTCCACCTACGCGGTGCGTCCGCGTTGACGCAGTGCATCCAGGTGCAGTGGGCTGCGCTGGCTGTGCTGCAGAGCCTCTTTCTGGAGACTCCCTGGGAGAAGGTGAACCAGGCATCCACCGATGTCCAAAACGCTGAAGGTTCCTTTGGGCTGCTTTGCTCGTGCTCGAGATCTCGCACCTTTTGTGGGGGAGGAAACGATCACTCGGTGGGTCTGGTCCAGACCTTGTGAAGGTTCCTTTTGAACGACAGTGGAATGACACCCACGTTATCTGTGGAGGTCTTGGAGGGCTTGGACTTAGACCCCACTCCAGCGCTCCAACGCGGTGTCACACCTGGAGTGCCCACCTTGGAGCGCTCGAGGACCCCACTGCAGCGTTTTCTTTTCTGAGGGTCCAACTGGTGGATTTCTGGATTTGCAGGCGATCAGGTGTTGCACCTGTACCAATGTCTGTCCAATCTCTGTCGTCGTTTCAACATCTGCAAGAATCCACGCCATCCAAGAAATTCAGTATTGCTCTTCCTAAACCAAGAAGTACCAAAGTTGAAGTCTCAGCAGATTTGTGCTTCTAGTACATTTTCCTTTAGCTACCCCACCTCGCAGGTCTTGTGGTTGCCCTCCTTGGGGGAGCCGCGGCTCTTCCCCGCCCACCGCCTGGTCATGGCCTCCTTCCTCGGTTGCGCGCTGGACGGAGACCGGGCGGTGGCCGCCGCCGCGTCGGCCGCGGCGAGCGGAACGGTGAATGGACGGGTGGCCAGCAGCTGCGCCGCGGGCTTACCATTGCAGGCGAGACCGGAACACCGGAATGTGGGGCCTCCGGAAGTCCACATTTGGCAGGTTTGTTGTTTTGTTTTTCGCAATTGGAGATGTGGGTTGAACATTCTTCGGTTGTGCTCTTGAAACCCAAGGCCCTAGCTTTAGGGTAGACCTGCAAAAGGGACACACTTGAACTTTCAGTCTTGAGTGGTGTCCATTTGCAAGATCGCCAGGCAAGATTTGTGGATCCCGAGTATTTGAGCTATGGTGATGCCATCTCCTGGGAGTCCTTTTTGGCAGCTTGCCGGTTTTGCTCTTTAGACACCGCTCAGCTTGAGGAGTGGACAATGTTTGTGAAAGGGTCTCATTTGGTGGGAAAAATCCGGTATCACATGCTGGAGAACGGAGAGATGATAAACATTCGCAACACTTCCATCTCCGCCCACGCTGATTTTTGGGACGTTTTTTGTTGCCCTCTGGATTTTCCTAGTGTCGAACATGGAAAAGGTAAAGTTGCGAATGACTAGGTTGGAGGCCATTGCTAGTAGGTTGGAGGCCATCGCTTGTAGGTTGGAGGCCATTGCTACTAATTAGAAACAAAGAAAACGCAATGAAAACAGGTAATATAGTTTGCTATGAGGTTGGAGGCCATTGCTAGTAGGTTGGCGGGACTGCATTCTCCTTTGCACATCCCTTCGAAGCCGTTCTCAGACACTTCGGAACCGAAGAAAGCCGTCATCGTCCACCGGGCTTTGCAGCTGACACCACGATGAATCGATGAACCTCAAGTCGAGTCTTCACGAGCTTTCATGTGTCCCATTTGCCATCGCAGTCGGAACGAGCAGCGGAACAGACGAAGAGGGTGGTCGAACAACCATCGAACCCCTCACGGTCTTTTTGAACGTACTGAGGAAACTACCACTTTCCAAAATTTGACGTCGACTCCTGTCTCGAGTGTCTGGTTTATTCAAGTTTCAGGCACACCTCGAAGTTGCTTTTTATGGCAGTCAGCAGGTTCCACCCAGCAGTCCAAGAATTCCTAGCTTCACCAAACTCAGACACTGGCTGACCAAGAACTCGGGCCAAACCTCAGAAGCACCATCAAACTCAGAGGATAACTGTGCACTTCGACAATCTGTCTTGGAATCTCTCGCTGTGCCTTCACGACTCGCCTTAGGAAGTCTTGGGCGTTCGGCCGCTGTACCCGATCCGCAGCGAACTGCCTTGCTTCGATCCGCCCGCGAAGGCGCCCGCGGTGAGCTCGACGGCTTTGCCCCAGGCCGAGGCTTTTGGAGAAAGTGTTCTTTGAGAGGACTGAAAACTGAAGATCCCCATTTTGGGGAGAAAAGCTTGAGGGAAACCATGAATCATTTGGACAAGCCTGGATCCCATCTTCAGGTGGAGTCCGCCAGTAAATCTGCCAAGATCTGGGCCCAGCGGAAGCTCGAAGGCTTACAGCAGTCGCCCTTGGGAGAGGCCTCCACGCCTATCTATCGCGCAGAGGAGCGGAAGAAGCTCATCATGGTGCCTTACCAGCGCCTTCAAGCAGAGCCTCGAATTAGAGAAGCGATCAGAGATGATCAGAGTGGCAGTGCCTCAACCTTGATCTAAGGTTGCTCCTGCTTTCTTGTTGAACCAAGTCAAGTGGTCATTTGGGGAAAACTGACATCCTATGATAAGCAGGGTCTTGCAAGGGGATGTAGCAGGGAGAGACAGCAGTTAGAAGCCCTGTAGTATCTTTTTCTTGGCCATAGGTTGTCAAACAAGAGATTGGGGACTATAATCCGCTTGCGGGCAATACCATGATGAGTACGTGGAGGATAGGAGCATGTCTAAGGTTCTTGGTCAAGCTGGGTGCTTTGTGTTGAGGGTGGATCCTCAGTAGATTCTGTCGGGTAGGGCAAAGGTGGAGTTGGTAGTAGAAAAACGGACATGACTTAATTGAGGTTGTTCTGCCTAAAGGATTCCACGTATGTAACTTTGATTCAAATTGTGTTAATCAATTCCAACATCGAATTGAGTTGTTGATCTGAAGATTATGCTATTGAGCTTGTCGGGAAGGCCCATATCATCTACCGTTGCTGTTGGTCCCCACTTGGCTCAGAAGCAGCTGGTCGCCCAGCTGGTCTCGGCGGAGTGGTGGCGACGCCTGTGTCCGCAGAGCTTTGACTACCTCTTGAAGCGGCTGAAGGAGGTGGACAGCAGCTGGCTGCGGAGCACCGCGTGCGGGACGCCTCCAAGGTGCCCCGGAGATGACGGATTGAGAGACCTATGTCAGACAGGTGAAAAGCTTTGAGAGCTGAAGCATCCAATTAGGATAAATGAGGTGACCAACTGCTTCAGCTTGAGTTTCGGCTACAGACCTGCTAGGCCGGCAGATCAGCACTGTATGGTGGATGTGTGGCAGGAGCAACCAAGCCACATCAACCATGAACTCTATCCACGCCCAACACATAAGAACGAACTCTCTTTCAAGACCTATCAAGGCCCAACACTTAAGACCCAACACTCAAGGCAAAGTCTTTAAAGATCTAAGGACTTCAGGACAGTCCAGGTCGACGTCGGTGGCCCAAGGCCCTTGGCAGAGTACCTCATCCAGGGCAGTGAGCTCGCCCAGCTCTGCGGGCCCTTCCTGCCCGTGGCAGCACTACCAGAGACCCGTTCCAGAGAGGCGCGTGGCTCGCCACGCGGCTGGACGCGGCTGGCTTTTGGAGCTTGAAACACATCTGAGAGATCTGGTCTTGGAGTTTTGTTGCCTGGGCACCCTCCAGTGGCATCGAATCCCTTAAGAACTGCCCTCCAGTGCACCAGATGTCGGTACCCATCCGTTCCACCCAGCTCTCAGCGTTCGCTCTCGCTCGGCGAGAGCTGAGCAGCTCGCCCGCCGCGGCCGCCGCAGGTGAGGCAGTGCCTTTCACAGTTGGGGCTACTGGGTGACGTAACGCCCAAGAACCTGCTCCGCTGCCTGGAAGCCATCGCCCAAAACTGTCAGGACGTGCCACACACGAAACCTTGAAAACAAGAAACGACTCCCAATTCAAATTTGGTCAGGCTGTGGGGGGCTGCCAATGGGTGACGTGTCTAGCAACGGCCTCCAACGTAATAGCAATGGCCTCGAACCTAATAGTGATGGCCTTCAACCTAATAGTTTCTGGTCTGAAGTTTTGAGCATGATGACCCGCTGAGCTTTGGCTCAACTTCCAGAACCCCCGCAAAAGGCCGGATGTTTTTCTCGTCCGTGTCAAAGATGCGTCAAGAGGACGTGGCTCTGTATGTCGCGCTCTACCAGCGCTTGGCACTCTACGACTTGGAGGAGCATCTTCCGGCGCTGTCGCAGTTGATCTTTGCAGCTCGGTCGAAATCCAGAGAGAGAGAGAGAGAGAGAGAATGGCCCATATAGGAACTCCGAGGCTCAAGTCAAGTCCTGAGTTTCACTTAGTGGAATTTTGCTCTTCAGGTGAAACAAATTGTAAGGGCTTCGCCCGGGTGCCGCCGACCCCTTTTCAGGAGGAATCCTACTGCGGATGGGTAACTTGGAGTCTGTCCCTGGGACCGATGCTGAAGTAGGGAAGAACCAAGGACCAAGGCTCGAAATCCTGTCCTGTTCGACCTGCATTTCGCACGCTCGACACGCACGGTCTCCGCAGAGGGTTGCGCGGGCACCGGACAAATCGCACTCTCGCTTGCATTTCGCGCGCTCGACGCGCACGATCTCCGCAGAGGGTTGCGCG